TCTCGTAGACACGATTGACCGCAGTTGACCCCCGGGACCCACCCGCACCATGCCGAAGTCCGTCAGCTTTGCTGAGTAGTCCTGCGGAGGGGTGTAGAGTGGCATTGGAGGGGCGTAGATAGGCAGTGGAGGGGTGTAGAGTGGCATTGGAGGGGCGTAGATAGGCAGTGGAGGGGTGTAGAGAGGCAGTGGAGAGGTGTAGAACGGCAGTGGAGGGGTGTAGATAGGCAGTGGAGGGGTGTAGATAGGCAGTGGAGGGGTGTAGATAGGCAGTGGAGGGGTGTAGAGAGGTAGGGGCATAGGGAGGCAATGGAGGGGTGTAGAGAGGTATTGGAGGGGTGTAAAGAGGCATAGAAGGGGGTAGAGGGGCATTTGTGGGGTGTGGAGGGGCATTTGAAGGGGTATAGAGGGGCATTTGTGGGGTGTGGAGGGGCTTTTGAAGGGGCAGATTGGCATTTGCGTTTTCAGGGAGTAGAGTGGGTAGAGGAGGCATCTAGAAATTCAGGGTTGAGAAAGTCCCAAGAATCAGCACTCACCGGCTTGAGAAGCACGTTGGCAGCTTTGATGTCTCGATGGATGAAGTTACAGCGGTGCATGTATACTAATGCCTCTGCCACCTCCACTGCCACCTCGAGGCGCATGGGCCAGCTGAAATGGAGCTCGCCCTTGGCACCTGAAGGTGAGGGGAAGAGAGGGAAAGGGAGGTGAGAAGGGAGGAGTGGAGAGGGGTAAGTGAAGGTGAAGGGGCATGTAGTTGCAGCGGTGCATATAGGGCAGCACCTCTGCCACCTCCACTGCCACCTCGAGGCACATGGACCAGCTGAAATGGAGCTCGCCCTTGGCACCCATTGTCAGTTAGGGCATTGTGCAGATTTCCCCTCTCCATGAGCTCGTACTCCAGGAGCGCCGGTTGTAGGTTTCAAAGAGGTTTGAAGGGATTTCAAGGGGTTTGAAGGGCAGGGTATAAAGCTTACTGTCAATGTCTCCCTCCATGAGCTCACAGACCGGGAATGCCCCTTGGCGGGTTTGGAGGTGTTTGAAGTGATTTGAATGGGTCAAAAGGAGTTGGAGTGCGCTTACTGTCGATTATGGCGTAGTCCAGCCAGACTCCCCCTCTCCATGAGCTCACACACCAGGAAAGCCCCTTGGAGGGCTTTAAGGGGTCTGACGGTATTTGAAGGGGATTAAAGGAGTTTTAGTGTGCTTACTGTCAATCAAGGCGTAGTCAAGATTCCCTCCCTCCATGAGCTCGTACACCAGGAACGCCCCTTGAAAGGCTTTGCATGCAGGATTCACGGAAGTCTGAATGTGTGTCAATGTGCTTACTGTCAATGAAGGTGTAGTCCAACCCCCCCCCTCCATGAGCTCGTACACGAGAAACGCCCCTCCGTCCACACAGTACCCCCACAGCAGCACCAGGTGAAGGTGGTTGGGGCGACCCAGGGAAGGAAGGAAGGAAGGAAGGAAGGAAGGAAGGAGGCAAGTACGCAAGCAAGCAAGCAATCAGGCCCAGCAAGAACACCCATCACTCACTGTCAATGAGCGCATAGTCAAGGCTTCCCCCCTCCATGAGCTCATACACGAGAAACGCCCCTCCGTCCACGCAGTACCCCCACAGCAGCACCAGGTGCGCGTGATTCAGTCGCCCCAGCACGAGCACCTCCCTCAGGAACTCCTCTGCTCCCTGCTTCGACTCCTCCCTCAGCTGCTTCACTGCCACCTGCACCATTGCTCCTTGCCCCATAGCACCCTGTCCCACCCCACCTTGCCCCATTGCGCCTTGGTCCATGTCCCCTCTCTCTCCACCTCCCTCTCCTCTCTCTCCTGTCCCTCCTCTCTCTCCTCTCTCCCCACTCCCTCCTCTTGCTCCTCTCTCTCCTCTCTCGAGCAACTCCGCCCTGATGCTTCCCCGGTAGACCTTCCCAAACCCGCCTTCCCCGATGAGCTGAGCTGGCGCAAACCCATTGGTGGCTGCTGCCACGTCATCGTACGAAAACCGGAGCAGGGAGTCAGGCACAATTGCCGATAGGACCTCGTCGGGCAGCTCGAGAAACTTTCCCGGAGATGAATTTGATCGCGGGACACCTGCCGGACGTTTTTTCGGAACCTGCCCGTTCCTCTGCCCGTTTCCATTCGCATGGTGTTGTTCCCTAAAGCCCTGCCCGTATTTACATCCCTCTTGCAGCTGCTGCTGGTGCTGGTGCTGCTGGTGGTCGTGTTGCTGCTGGTGGTGATTTCCAGGAGAATCTATAGACCAAACAGGAGACCCTAAAGACCTAGCAGGCGATGCTCTCTCAACATAGGCATTTAAAGACCTATTTGATGAAGATCTACTGTGTGAAGCCCTGTGTGAAGACGACCCTAGCTGTATTCTGGCGGGGGATCTCCTTCTAGACCCAATCCCCCCTCCTACGCCTCCCCCCAGGTCCGCCGCTCCATCCCCCCCAGTCCCCCCGCGCGTGCTCCCCGTACCCACTCGTCCCCCCTCTCCATCTCCCGCCTCCTCCTCTCCCCCAGCTGATAGACTCCGCGGGTGCGTCCCCCCTGGAGCCCTGGGGGGCTTGCTTCTGGGGGGATTGGCGGAAAGGGGACGGTCTTGCGCGGAAGGGGGGATGCCCTCGGCGTAAGGGGGAAGTTTTTGGGCGGGTCGGGGGTACTGGGGCGGAAGGGGGTGTTGGGAATTGTGTTCCGCGGATGAATGGGGGGGCGGCTTAGGGGGAGGAAGAGAGTTGGGAAGAGGGGGAGGAGGAGAGGGATTGGCGGAAGCGGAAAAGAGAGAGGCAGTGAGAGGGGGAAGAGTGGTAACTGCTTCGGGTTTGCCTGCAATGGGGAAGGACCGGTGGGAAGGGATGGGGGAGGTTGGAATGGCGGCAGTGGGTCAGGTTAGGAAGTAAGGAAATCAGGGGAGAACAGAAGGGAAAATTGGACAAGATAAGTGGGAAGAGAAAATGTGGAAATGGAACGTATTGTGAAACCCTAGCCGGGTGTTAGTTCCGTACGTACTCTCAGGACAGCATGATACTCTCAAGACAAACGTACGTGAAACGTACGCCAGACGTACGTCAATTCACGTCACGAGAGCACGAGAGCTCCTAGCCTGACGTACGCTGTTTGCCACCGTTGGATGAGGATTTGGTGGATAGACATGCTCCCATGACTCGCCAATAGGAAGGTGACACGTGGCATCAAGGCGTGCTTCTCAATGTGGGGGTTCTAAGAACCAATCCATCGCCAGGATTTGCGCCGTCATTGGCGGGTGTTGAGGGCGTAGCCTTGTTGCGCATAGAGTTGATGATGGCTTATGCGCTTTGGTAAGATTGAATGACACCTCGGGAATGTTCTCGAAGAGTAACGAGAATTGCTGCTTGAGTCTGCCGGATAAAGGCTTTCGGTTGGAGAAGCTACGAAGGCTGGCTGGTGTAACGCAACCCTTGGAATTGTCGGTAAGAGCTTCGATGTCTCACGTCCTGTACTTCACGAAAACTGTGTGTACTCATCTGCAGCTCAGCTTGACGAATGTTCAGTTTGAAATTGCCAGAATTGAAGAAACTACGATCTTGGAAAAGTGGAAAATTATGGCTGGAAGCGCGTCTGGACTGGAAGTATTTGAATAGCTGGCTTGTACGTAATTAGATAGTGCAACATGACAGGAAAAACGCGAGTCGGTATTCTTGAGGGTCATTCAAGTCATCCTTTGAATGTCAGAGAAGAGTAAGAGTTACGGGGAAAGATCATTCCCGCTGTCACTTATCACCAATTACAATGATCAGAAGCCTGTTTATATCGGATCTTGACATGTACAGTTGAGATGATGACAACTCGTATGTGAGAGTGTACTCGTCTACTATGGAAGAAGTGCCTTGACAAGCTGTTGCCCCTCGATCCCTTTCTATCACACCTCAGAGAGTCGAATGCTGCTGACCGTGCCCTGTCGTTTCATGCATTCAAATGACAAAATATACCGCCCGTTTCTGTTGTCAACCTCGTTGTTTTGATTAATACTGACACAAGCTGCGTAGCCTTGGCCACATTGTTTCTCAGGTAGGCGTGGATTGCACTGAAACGCGATGAATAACAAGACAGCAAAGGAAGCTAGCAAAACCACCTGACACAGTGGTTACGAAGGACTGTTTCTTGGTTTCATCGCGTCGTCCAGTGATAAACCTTGGTGTTTTGTTGCTGAACAGTTACGGAACGGAATCGGATCATGGTTTGGAGGGTGGTTTGGCTTTCTGGTGGTGGCACTTAGTCATATGGCCTGCACGGTTCAAAACCATGAAAAAATTGCTGACTACACTACACAAAGCCCCTGTCACATGTAATCAGAAACTGGTCAGTAAACGTGATGGGTAGCTACCCAATAGACCCAAGCACCCGATACTCCAACACTAGTCCTCTGCTGTCTTCCCAACCCCAATCGTTTTCATCCATCCGCATGTCCAGCTGCCTGGCGCCTATTCTGAAACTAACCTGCGGTGCCTCTGAGGAGCCGCCGAACCGAACAGTGACAGCCAGCTTTCTTGACTGTGCTCTCCGCTCTCTTGACGGCCTCACTGGGGCGCTGTGCCATGCCATGACTAGTGCTGCACAGTACATTGTCCTGGTGGTGGTTTACCCTTGGTTCTGATCTGAGGATTTGGTGATTTCCCCTCTGCCTTTTCCTCTTCTCCTCTCCACTTCCACTCTGTACTTCGCCCAACCAGTCCTTGAACCTACTCTCTGCTTTTCTCCTCTTAGGTTGCTAGATTAGAGAGGTAACAGTTGGTCTTAGGCGTCAAATAGTCCTGTCGACGTCGCCCGAAGCGCCGAGCGTTTAGCGTAATCACCCTGAAACCATGGAACCGCGTCGCGCTCTCCCATTTATAATAGCACTTGTCATCCCGTGCCTGGTCGCCGCAACTGCCGTCGATATCTCCAAAAAGCCCTACCCTGGCCAGGAAGGCTCGGCCTTCGGGGCTTGCCCTAGCTTCGGCTGCAAGCCCGGAGCGTACGAGAAGGGAATGTTCACCGATAGCGACTCGGAGGACATCGAGTACATGTTTAAATATTCCATGCCGTTTGTCTTCAACGACACGGATTCGCCGGCGTGGGATCCGTTATTGACAGACCCGTTTTACGACTGCTGGAAGGTGTGCAGCGATTTCAACAAGGAGAACCCCAGCGACCCCGTGACTTACTGGCAGTACGAGGAGACGTGCGACATTGGAGGTGCGTGGCGCGGCTGCAGAGCTAGTCGAAACTACGCTCACTGTGTTAAATTTCGTTGCGTTTTCCGTAAAGTAATGTAAGGATAGGACCAGCAGGTGTAATGGTACAAATGTTTAAAAAACATGTTACAGGTACAGCAGCGGGGCGTTGCATCTGGCAAGGCTCTTTCGCGTCGTTATTGGATATTAAAAAGTGCAGGGTCCCATTCATAGTTTCTCTCATCCGCGCATCTTAAACAAGGCACCTAATGTATTTCCCCCATCCCTTCCCCTTCCTTTCATTTTTTGCAGGTGTATGCGCGTGCTTCGATGAGGGCGTGTGCACACTCGAACACTTCAACCCCGACAACACGATGGACAGCTTTACCGACACAACCGGTGATTACCAGCCGGAGTCACGATTCTACGTGGGCAAGATTTGCGACAGCAATGTTACCGGCGATCCTCATTTCGTTGGCGCGGACAAGTCTCGGTTCGACTTCAGCGGCATCCCTAACGAAAACTTCGCGCTGATTACGGATTCGCACGTCCAAGTGAACGCCTTCTTCGGAGGGCGCTGGGCTCGTTGGATGGACAGTGAGCGAAAGGCGCTGACGTGGATGCGAAAGATTGCGATCCTTTGGGGCCACCACTCCATCATCTTCGAGGCTCGCGAAGGCCCCGACCCGAAATATCGCAAGGGTTACCTCGCTTCGTTGACCGTCGACGGCGTGGCGAAGAAGCTCAAATTCCCTGGCGAGAAGATGTACCTGTTCGATGGGCAAGGCGAGGTGAAGTGGGTTGCTGGTGCGAAGCCTTCCGGTGGCGATCTGGTTGACGAATACGAAGTTACCGTCGCGGACGTCCTCTCGTTACGACTGACCCTTCGCCCGGAGATCGAAATGATGCGAACGATTGAAGACGGACTGGTTCACTTCACGGTGGAGGTTCTGAGCGCCAGGCTGTCGGCTAACGTCCATGGCGTGCTTGGCCAAACTTACCGCCCCGACTTTGCCGGCCGATTGTAAGTCCCTGCTTCTTCTAACAGCCCTTCCTTCCAACCTCGTCGTTTCTTTGTCTCGTTGTACTCTCTTTCCGCATTTCTCGTCGCCCCAGTTCTCCTCATTCAGTGTCCGCTTACTTCACTAGTCTCTCTAGACCCGTTTTTTGTTCCGGTGTTTTATTCAGTAAGGTTTTGCGTCCTGAACTCATTCTCCGTATCCTCTTTCTCTTTTCTGTCATCCCTTAACTCCACAGGGAGAAGCAGGCCTTGGTGTACAGCAAGCTCTTTAACGCGTACGTCGTGCCTGGGGATAACGCCGACGGTTTCATTGACGGCACTGTAGACGACTACCAAGTCTCGTCTCTGCTCCACACCGACTGCAGCCTCTGCCGGTTCATCCGCGCGCGCTCATTGGACGACGAGACCGCTCGGGCAGTTGAACTCAGCACCACTGTAGCCTCTTCGTTTACTGCTTTAGGCAGACGAGCTGCCAATTAGCTTGTGCATCGCAAAGAGCTAAACTAGTAATCTTCTGTGTTGTTGATAGTAGGCATGTGGGCTTAGTCTTCCTGGAAGATGTTATCCATAATATGTACAATTTTAAAAGTGTGAAACACTCTTCATAAATTGTGTATAGTGAAAATGTAGCCGTTGCCAATGCTGCAATGGTAGTGTAGCATCGCTACTCGCCCTCTTTTGGCTACAAAAGAGGGGGTTGAGGCCATATGGCCTCACCTACGTTTTCTTTCCAATTTAGAAGTTTGATTTTCCCACCCTCCCACCCATGTAGTAATTGTCTCAAAGATTCTTGCTGTAATCGTAGTTATCATTGGACGAGATTGATGTACTCATACCCATATGAAATGTAGCACGATCAGGCCCTCAGATTCGTTTGGGGGTACACTGAGGCCTCGGGGCAGTTTTTAGGAAATCAGAATCTGCCCTGAATTGTCAGGGCTGCACAGGGTGAGGTATCCTGAAATGTCAGTGCTACATTTGAGAGTATCCTGGCAGCTCAGTGCTACATTTCGTGCAATCCTGTATATTTCGCGCGTGTTATGTTAGCGGGGATCGAAATGCTCTCCACATTCGAAGTGTGTAATTCTGGGGTGCAGCTGCAAGTGGCTGGCAGTGCAAGTCGCTGGCAGCTGCATGGTGCGAAAGTATTACTGCACAGTACAAGGAGATGGCGAAGGTGGCGGTGAACATCGTGGGCCAAATTGGATGGAAAAGCTGGCGCAAAACAATATTGTTATAGATTTTGTTTTTCTTCGAGTCGAACATGAAGTGTTGTAGTGGGTAAGGTGAAAGATTGCTACGCAGTAGGTTGTCTGCTCGTTTCCCACTGGCTCCATCTGAAGCGTTCGCCTTGAACACTTTTGGCCCCGAAACCCAGAAGATTTTTCATACAGTACATCTCGCTTCAGGGCGAGATTCGACATTATCCTGAGTCGTCAGGGCTGAACCTACAGCGTTATCTTGAGTTTTCAGTACGCAAAATAACCATTATACTGATTTTACAGGACAAGTAATTCCCTTATGCTGTTTTTTCAGGAGAAGCACACGACACCTATCCTGAATTCAGGAGAATCAGGATAAATTATCCTGATAACATAGGCCCTGAGCACGATGCTCATATGAAATGAAGCACGATGCTCATATGAAATGAAGCACGATGCTCATATGAAATGAAGCACGATGTCTTTACAAGTTGCAGAAAGCAAGATTTCACAATATGTATATTTTTAAAAGCTGTAACGATTTTCAAAATTATGTATTTTGAAAGCGAAGCTGCTTGTAATGTAGGATTTGGCAGCGTCGAGCCGCGCTAAACGCCCGTTTTGGAGTACAAAACGTGGGCTGGAGGTCATTTCCCTCCACCCACGTCTCTCATTTTCAAACGGTTTAGCCGATTTCCCCCCCCCCCCCCTCGGAAACAGGATAGCCGTAGGAACATAGAGGCATATCTTTGTAATATCACTATGGATTTCAATTGTACTAAACCCATTTGAAATGAGACGATGCCAATTGCTACATGCAAGAAAGCAAGCTTTCACAATAAGTAGCTATTAAGGGTACGTTCCTGTGGAGACACTTGTGTCTCAATCCTTTTGTGACGCGTAAAACCAGCTTATAACGTACAATGTCACAAACGCGTGTCGCCCTTGTGCGAATTTTAATGTATTTTTCATTTGTCAGCGTGAAACGCGCTGATGTCGCGGACGATTTGCGTATCGACCCGTCATTGTCAACAACTCTGTACGCGGTTCGAAATGTCAATGCACCTGGACATTCCACAGTAAAAATCTCGCGCGGGAAAAAGTTCCGCTCGTCAAAACCCCACCCGAACCAGACAGTTGAAGAAGCAGGTGTTCAGTCAAGTTTGAAATCCAATCAAATGAGCACAGCTGTAAATTTCGCCTGGTCGCACAGTTTCGTGATACACTCATTTTTTGTGACGCGAGATTGCAAAAATGTGTAGACGCGACTCGGAAAAAAGGGGATTGAGACACAAGTGTCTCCACAGGAACGTACCCTAAGTGTTAGTGTCTGTGTGGAAGATGCCTTTGTGTCAATTTGCAGCTTCTAATTATGAATTGGTCAAGATTGCTGCTGGATTCATCCTGCCCAGGGCCTTGGGATGCAGAAATTAAGGAGCTATGCACAAAGGTCTGTTCCATACATCCACAAGGGAAGTTCAAGCAGCAGAAGTTATTATTCCCTTTCCTACCTTGAGTTTCACACTACTCCAGAATCCCAAGTTACCCATCCCACCAGGGCCTTTTTTTGGTTTTGGAGCACTCTTGTTTCCAGAGGCGTTTTTGGCCTAACCCTTAAATCCAGAGTGGCTGGCGAGCGTTGCTCTTAGATGTCAGTGTAACACTTGCTGTCATTTTAAAAACCCTGTTACCTCAGAGTAACTTTCATCTGTAACCCTGATGGTTACCCATTGTTTGCTATTGCTGTTGCATTGCCAGAATTATTGAATTTTTTAAACTTTGTACACAATGACCTACTACCACAAGCTCACTCATCGTAAGCCACGTCATCCTCCCGTTCGTCGTCCGAACTGGCCTCTGGCCCGCCCTTGTCATTGGCTGGTTGGAAGGGTGCAGGGGATTTTGTAGGCCGCCTCTTCTTCTGCTTGCGCCAGATGTCCACGACATCTGGCCACTCCACGTTGTAATCGAGCATGTGGATGCTCATGAGTTCGGTGAGCCGCGTGTCGTTGAGAGCCGTGCGCTGCCAGCTCTTGATGATGTTCTGCCGTGAAAATCCACGCTCACATTCGACGGTGCTGAGTGGCAGGACGGCCAACGCCTGCCACAGGGTCATGATGTTGGGGTAAGTTCGCCGCCAGTCGCGTGACCTCAGCATGTTCGTCAGCGCCTGGTAGAAGTCCTCGTCCTCGTGGTGCGTCCTCATGACGTGGCAGAAAGTTTTCAGCTCAAGTTCGGCTGCCCGCAGTTCGAATCCTGCCAAAACAGTACGCGCAGCACAGCGTTTTTTATGTACGGAAATGTTAGGTACACATTGACGAGAGGCATTATTACAGGGAAAGCACACATACACGATCGAAAAGATATACACATACCTGGCAGCTGGTGGTTGAAGAGTTTAGAGTTCTCGCGGAGCCACGTGGCACAACGTCTCACACGCGTGTCCGGATTCGCTGGCCACTTGTCCACCCTGAAAAGCTTCAAGCCGCCCAATCGACGAAGATCTCGCATGCGGTACTTCAGGTTGTACACGACCTCGCGGGCGAAGGCCTTGCCCAACTTCACGCAATCTGCAAGCGTCCCGCCGAACTTGTGCTTCTTGTCCGGCAGCTCGCTGAGCTCGAAGGTGTGCTTGACGGGTATGCCGCTAGCGTCCACGCCGTCCACCTTCACCTTCTTGTCCCCTTTCTTGACACGTGCCATGAATGGAGACAGGATGGGGCTCAGACCCGCCCCGAAACCACCATCGTAGTCGATGTAGCGGTGCTCGATGAGGGACACCACACGGTCGACCTCCTCTGTGACTTGCGTCACCTCCACCTGACGCACCGACATGTGCGCAAAAAGGTTTGTTAGTCTGTGTGGGCAAATGAAAATTAAACAAGACTAAACGCGTGTATCAACAATCCTTTAGGGCACGTTTTACCTTGCGTCGTTGGAAGAAACGGTTCAGGGAGTTCAACTCCCCCAAAATGTCTGCCAGGAAATACAGACAGAAGTGGAATTTCAGGGTCTTCACAACCGAGGCGATCTTGTGCTTGTACTCCAGAAAGAGCACGATTGCCGACCCCAAAATCTTGACAAGCCGGTTGACCGCATCGGCACGGGAGAGCCAGCGCACGTCGAACAGCAGTCCCTGGTGCTCGAGGTTGGTGCTGTGGATCACGATCTGGAGCTCTTTGAACCGCTCGTACCACGGCGTGGATCTCCCCACGATCTCGCCCACTGCACGGATGGCCTTGTCTACCATCCGGAAATCTTGGAACTGCTCGGCTTCGGCCGTCTCCTTCACAGCAAGTTCTTCGCTGCAAGCAATAGTGGGGTGAGCAGAAAAGGATTGTTACATTACTTTAAAGATCGACTAACGTAAAACCGGTCATTTAAAATTATCAGCCACGACACAAGTACCGATGCGCAATGCAGTGGCAGCCGACCAGGTGGGGGACGTGGACGCGCAGTCGCGTGACAACGCCGGACGTGCCCCCGATCATCACTGCCGCGCCGTCCGTGGACATTCCGGATATCTTCTTCAGGTCGACGCCCACTGTCTCGAGATGCTGGAGCAGTGCGCCTATGAGCGATGCCGCATCACATTGCTGCACGGTTAGTAACGCGAGGAACTCGGTTACAACCACGCTGTTCTTGAGGAACGTGACAAACACAATCATGTGTTTGCCATGGGCGCGATCGGTACTCTCGTCGCACATGAGGCCGATGAAGGGCGAGGCGTGGAGGACGCGCAATTGCTCCCTGGTCAGATACGCGGTGAGAGCCTTGGCCATCTCGGAGAAACCGTACCTGCGCATTCACATAGCACAACGCATTAGCCTCGTTAAACAAAGACGGTTGCTTCGAATACAAACCAGTCAACAGCAACTCACTGCGTGATGTACACTCCATAGCTTTGTTGCGGAATGTTGGCGACCCCCTCCTCTGCGAGAAGCTGCACGACCTGTGGGTACATGTGGATGGGTGTGTCGGTACGGCACACAAAACGCATGGCGCGCATGAGTACCGCGACGCGACAGCCTTCCGGATCTCCATTCGCGAAGTCTTCAATCTTCTTCTGGTCCACGATCTTCTGCAGAAGGTTTGCCTGCTTGTTCATGACGTCCTCGTGCTTCGCGCTGTTCTCGTGCCACCGCATCGACCCGATCTGCAGATCACGACCGCCAGCGCCATTGCGACCGTAACGCGCGTTGTCCTTCCCGTGCTCCATGCAGACACTGCAGCGCAGGCACGGGTCACCCTCTGGCGTCTTGTCCAGAATCAGCCAGTCAAACTTCGGCAGCCAATCAGACTTGTAGCTCTTCTGCGCCTTCAGGTACGCCTTCTCCTTCTTCTCCTCGTCTGTAAGGGGACGAATGGGGGGTGGGGCAGCACGGGGAGGTGGAGCGACGGGCTTCGGAGGCGGTGTTCCCCACTGCAAAACCTGCTGCGAGTACCGTCGCTTCTTCACAGCGACTGAACCGGATGACTCAGGAGTGGCCGCATCGACGACCTGCGTTGCAACCGTTTCAGCCGGCTCTGCAGCAACCTCGTTTCGCGGCGAGGCGATCCACTCCTCAACACCGTCGGACTCAGCAGCGTCATTCATCGGGCGCGGAGAAGGACACCAATCGTCGTACGCATCTTCCATGCCGCCACTTTCCTTGCCAGGACGGCGCATCCATTCGGTACCGCCATCGCCCAGCTCCTCCTCATCGCGAGCGTTATCTGCATGCACAGCGCGGAGAAACTGAAGCCCTGTCGCAGGGGGTGTGATACATGTCGGCCTGTCGTCGGGATCAGCCGCGTCTCCCTCGGCGTCGCTAGTATCCATGATATTGACGGCAAAAAAAAAGGTTAGGGAGGCGGGGCTGTGGCTGGAGAAGCCCTCGGAACACTCGCTAGACTGGAACGTTGAAGAGCAGTGCTGGGTGGAAGAAACATAATGGCTCAGACAGGATGGGGTTTGGTGGTGACCCCGTATGCCTGCCGAGCAACAGGTGTGGATGTGCGCGCCGCGCACGAATTCAGTGCACCACAGGAAGCTGCCGTATCATGCCCGAAAGTTGGAGTTGTTCATTGCTGATGGGGTACGCAAAGCCAGCGATGTATCCACTGGGTGGCCAGTTGAGTGCGCTGGCACGAAATATGCCATTCCGGCCAATCGGCGCCTCAGGTTGTGCCAACACACGGGCGAAACAACACTGATATCCCCTGCGCTCCGGTCCAAACCGGCATCGTGGGGATAAGGGGGACCTAGGGGGGTCGGGGGGGTACATGTATCCCCCGTTCAGAGTAAACTCACTATTCGAGAAAGGAACACTGGCGCTCCAGAGTGAACTTACACAAAAACCCTGGCTGATCAGAGAACAAGTAACTCTAAAAAAAAATACCCAGCAGGTACAGAGTGCCCCCCTAAAAACCACTCTGATTTTCAGAGAAACAGAGTAAATTACACTGATAAAAAAACCCCTGCATCCCACCCATTCTCCAAGTCTGACTGACAGGTAGTAGGTAGCTACACTCGTCCTATCTCTTCATGTCTTTCCTACGACCATCGCTTGGCGTTCTTGGCCACTTTCCCCTGCGACTGCTTGTTCTGAAACGCCTGTGCCTTCTGCTTCTTCTGTAGCTCCTTCTCCGCCTGGGAGTGGTGGTGAAGCAGGGGGAATGAGCAGGGGTGAGGGAGGGGGGATGAGCAGTGAGGGAGGGAAACACCCTGCAGCTTGTTCTGAAACGCCTGTGCCTTCTGCTTCTTCTGTAGCTCCTTCTCCGCCTGGGAGAGGCGGGGAGCAGGGAGAGGGGGAGGGGGAGGGGGAGTGGGGAGGGGATGGCAAGAAAGGGATCGTGAGGGGGTGGCAAGCAAGGGTTGGTAAGCAGGGGGAAGATGGAGAAGAAGGTTTTGAGATTTCAAAACGGAGGGTTTGCCAATCTTTGCTCTCCTTGCTCATCTTTGCTCAACATTTACACAACGCCATGCCATTACCCCCCTGCTCATCTCCCCACTCACCTTGCTCATCTTGCTCTTGGCCTTCACAGCAGGAGCAGATGCCTCCACCTCCAACTCCCACCTTGCCAATCTCCCCATTTCTCATCCCACCTTGCGCATCCCCCTCACACAGCTCATTCCCCCCCACCTTGCGCATTCATTCACCCACCTTGCTCAGCTTGCCCACCTTGCTCCTCTTGCCCACCTTTCTCATCTCCCCTCACCTTGCTCATCTTGCTCTTGGCCTTCACGACAGGAGCAGCCGCCTCCACCTCAGACTCCCTCTCCATCTCCTTGCGCCGCGCTTCCAGGTTCTTCTCAAGGTAGTACTGGTGAAGGGGGGGGGGGGGGGGGGGGGGGGGGGGTGTGAATGGGAAAGGGATCAGGGGAGGCGAAAGGGGGAAGGGAAAGTTGCATCAGTGTAGGTTCTCTCCAGCTCCTTGCGCCGCGCTTCCAGGTTCTTCTTCAGGTAGTACTGGTGGGGGCAGGGGAAACGGGGGAGGCGGAGGGAGAGATGGGGGAGTGTTGGGGGTAGAAAAGAAGCAGCGACCACCAGCACATGGAAACACCTCCGACTCCCGCTCTAGCTCCTTGCGCCGCGCTTCCAGGTTCTTTCTCCAGGTAGTACTGACGAGGGGATGAGAAGGGGGGGCAGGGGCGACGGACGCAAGGAGGTGGGGGGAGGAGAAGGGGGGGAAGAGGAGGAGAGCAATGTCTTGAGACTCGATTCTCTCTAGCTCCTTGCGCCGCGCTTCCAGGTTCTTCTTCAGGTAGTACTGACGATCGGGGAATGAGAATCGGGGGTGTGTGATAAGTCGAGTTTTGAGTCGACTCAAAACTCGACTTATCACACACTTCTTCTTCAGGTAGTAGTACTGACGATCGGGGGATGAGAAGGGGCGGAAAGGGGGGGTGTGGTGGGAGAAGGTGAGAAGGGGAGGTGGTGACTCGTCATATGCTTAATCCTACAGCCATTGTTAATCCTACAGCCATTGTTAATCCTACAGCCATTGTTAATCCTACAGCCACTGATAATCCTGCAGCTTCCTATCCCTCGCCGCCACCACACGGTTCACTATCTGATACGACGAGGGGACAGGCTGTTTGAAACCCAAGCCACTCTCTCACAGCCACCACTCAGTCCCCACCCACGTGACAGTCCCCCACTCACGTTATAGTCACCGCTCACGTTTTAGTCACCACTCACGTTATAGTCACCGCTCACGTTATAGTCACCACTCACGTTGTAGTCACCGCTGTAGTCCTGCAGCTTCTTCTCCTTCACCTCCACCACTCGGTTCACGATCTGGCGCAGAAAGTAGCGGTCGTGGGAGACTGCCAGCACCGTGCCTGTGAACTCCCGCAGTGCTTCCTTTGGATGGAAATCCAGGGCGCCCACAGGGGGGGGAGGGGGGAAGGGAGTAGGGTAATGGGGGAAAGTGGAGGTGAGGCGGGGGGGGGGGGTTGTAAGGAGGGCGGCGATTAACAAGATGTTGTAGAAAGTAACGATCCTGAGAGACAGCCGGCACCGTCCCTGTGAACTCCCGCAGTGCTTCCTGTGAATGAAACGGGTGCGAGCGGGGTGGGGTTGGGGGTGTGGGGGGGAAGGGCCACAAGAAAGGAGTAACTACTCGGTACGAATTTCCAGGTGGTTAGTCGGCTCGTCCAGCGCCAGCACCGCCTCTTGCCCCTCTCACACCACCCAAACAGGTTACAGCCCAACTAAATCCCCTCCACCCCTCTCCACCCCTCACTTCAATATCTCCTTGGTGGGAATAATTAGGTGGTTGGAGGGATCGTCCAGCGCCAGCACCGCCTCTTGCCCCTCTCACACCACCCCAACAGCCCCACGAAATCCTCTCCACCCCTCTCCACTCCTCACCTCGATATTCCCTTGGTGGGAATCTCCAGGCGGTTAGTGGCACCCAGCACCAGCAATGCCTCCCACTCTCACACACACCACCCCAATGACCCAACTCTATACACCACCCCTACCCTCACCACCCCCCACCACCCCTCGCCAACCCTCTCCACCGTTCTCAACCCACCTCGGTGGGGATAATTAGGTGGCTTGTCCAGCACTAGCAGCCCTCCTTGCTCTCGCACCACCTTACACCCCCTACCACCCCTCACCAACCCCCACCAACCCCCACCAACCCCCCCCCACCCCTCTCACCACCCCTCTCCACCCCTCTCAACCCACCTCGAGCATCTCCTTGGTGGGGATATCCAGGTGGTTGGTTGGCTCGTCCAGCGCGAGCAGCGCCTCTCGCTCTCACCCTACCCTAATAGCCCAGCTTCACACCCCCACCACCCCTCTCCACCCCGCACAACCCCTGTCTGCTCGTCACAACCCCTCTCCAACCCTCTACACCGCTCACCTCGAGCATCTCCTTGGTGGGAATATCCAGGTGGTTGGTTGGCTCGTCCAGCACGAGCAGCGTTGCCGGAGTGACCATGAACTTGCACAGGGCCAGGCGGGCCTGGGGGGGGGGGTGCAGGGGAAGGAGGGGAAGAGGAGGGGAGGAAGGGGAAAGCGGAGGTGAGGAGGGGGCAGAAGAGGCGGGCAAGAAATTAAAGGTGGTTGGTTGGCTCGTCCAGCACCAGCAGCGTTGCCGGGGTGACCATGAACTTGCACAGCGCCAGACGCGCCTGGTGGGCAGCAGATAAGGGGGCGTATAGGGGAGGGGGTGGGGAATATACAGGTGGTTGGTGGGCATGTCACAGCACCAGGAGAGTCGCCAGGGTGACCATGAACTTGCACAGGGCCAGGCGCGCCTGGTGGTGTGAGAGGAGGGGAGGAGCGGGTGAGGAGAAGCGACAGGAGGTCAAAAGGAAGCGTGTTCACGACTCAGAGGTTTGTCCAGCAACAGCAGCGTTGCCGGGGTGACCATGAACTTGCACAGGGCCAGGCGCGCCTGAAGGGGAGGCAAGGAGGGTGGGGCCGGTGCGGGGGGTGGGCGTGAGGAGTGCAGAGGAAAGAACACAACTTCTGAATGACCACGAACGACTCAAGAGATTTTGCCTGGGAGACCATGAACTTGCGCAGGGCAAGACGGGCCTGGTGGACGGGGCACAGCGCCAGACGGGCCTGGTGGACGGGGCACAGCGCCAGACGGGCCTGGTGGACGGGGCACAGCGCCAGACAGGCCTGGTGGACGGGGCACAGCGCCAGACGGGCCTGGTGGACGGGGCACAGCGCCAGACGGGCCTGGTGGACGGGGCACAGCGCCAGACGGGCCTGGTGGACGGGGCACAGCGCCAGACGGGCCTGGTGGACGGGGCACAGCGCCAGACGGGCCTCCCTCTTCCCCGTGCCCCCTGCACACTCGCTCACCCTGCCCCTGCCCCCGCCCCCGCCCCTGCCCCCGCCCCTGCCCCTGCCCCTGCCCCCGCCCCTGCCCCTGCCCCTGCCCCCGCCCCTGCCCCCGCCCCTGCCCCCGCCCCTGCCCCCGCCCCTGCCCCCGCCCCTGCCCGCGCCCCCGCCCCCGCCCCCGCCCCTGCCCCCGCCCCTGCCCCCGCCCCTGCCCCCGCCCCTGCCCCCGCCCCCGCCCCTGCCCCCGCCCCTGCCCCCGCCCCTGCCCCCGCCCCCGGCCCCGCCCCCGCCCCTGCTCCCGCCCCTGCCCCCGCCCCTGCCCCCGCCCCTGCCCCCGCCCCTGCCCCCGCCCCTGCCCCTGCCCCTGCCCCCGCCCCTGCCCCCGCCCCTGCCCCTGCCCCTGCCCCTGCTCCTGCCCCTGCCCCTGCCCCTGCCCCTGCCCCTGCCCCTGCCCCCTGCAAGCTCGCTCACCTTCTCCCCACCACTGAGGAATTGCACCTTGCGCCTTAAAGTATCACCCTTGAAGTTGCACCTGCGGGGAGAGGGCAGGGGAGGGGAGGGGTGGGAGAGGGTGAACAGATAAGCTTGACTGTTGCAGCTGAGAGAAAAGGTGAGGGGGAAGGGAAAGAAGGGGAGGAAAAAGCTTCCATGCCAATCTTGGAAGTTGCATTGCAAATGAGGCAAGAGGATGGGACAAAGGAGAATGGGACGGGATATTGAAGCAGAGGCAAATGAGGGGGGAAACGAAAGGGGAACAGGGGAGGAAACCAGGGGCGGACTGGGGGTCGGGTCGAGGGGAGAAAGGGGGAGCATGCTCTGATTTCAACCTTGCCCAGAAACCACCTGCCCCAGAAAACATGCGCCAAAACCTACCTCTCCCAGCAGCACCTCCCCCAGAAATACCCTCTCCAAACAGCGCCCACCTGCCCAGCAACGCCTTGATGTCGTTCATCTTCCACCCCTCCGCCACCTCCAAAAGACCCCTGAAACGACTCAAGCTAAAACCCGGTCAAGCAGCACTTCCCCCAGAAACACCTCCCCTGGTTATACCTCCCCCAAACAACACCTACCTCCCCAGCAGCGCCTTGATGTCGTTCATCTTCCACCCCTCCGCCACCTCCTCCACCGTCTGTAGGACTGTCTTGTCTAGATCCAACGCCTGCGCCTGATGGGTGGAGAGAGAGGGATAGAAACACGGGAGAGGGAGGGAGGAGACAAGTGAGAGAGCGAGAGAGCGGCAGATGAGTGAGGAGAAACCCTCCCCCCTGCCACCTCCTCCACTGTCTGCAACAACTTGTCTGGATCCAGTGCTTGGGCCTGATACAGGGACGGGGGGGAGAGGCGCGGGGAGAGAGGGCAGAGGGACGAGAGGAGTAGGGGAGTGAGCTGAGCAGTGCACCCCTCCGCTACCTCCTCTACTGTCTGTAGCACCGTCTTGTCTAGATCCACTGCCTGCGCCAAGTGATTTAAATCAACGCGGTGTTCCCCCAGGGCCACAATCCCATGCTCGGGCTCTTCGCAAACCCCATGATGAACCGCAGCAGAGTACTTTTCCCGCTCCCCTTGTCAAACAGCACGCACCTGCTGAACCCCCCCGACCCCCCTGATACTGCTCCCCGCCCCCCCCGCAGCTGCTGGTGCTCCCTAGGACCGCACGTGACCACTCTCCACGCCAAAACTCACCTGGTTTTGGGCCAAGTAGTTGGGAACGACCCGGTGCTCCCCCAGAGCGACGATTCCATGCTCGGGCTCTTCAAACCCCATGACGAACCGCAGCAGCGTGCTCTTGCCACACCCATTCGGCCCAATGAACGCCAGCTTCTCGCCGCGCTCGATCTGCAGCTTCGCCTTGTCGAACAGCACATTCACCTGCTGCTCCCCGCCGCCCCCTCTTGTTGCTGCTCCCCTGCCCCCCCCACCTGGTGCTGCTTACTAGGACCGCTCGTGACCACTCTCCACCCCCCACAACTCACCTGGTTTTGGGCGAAGTAGTTGGGAACGACACGGTGCTCCCCCAACGCCACGATTCCATGTTCGGGCTCTTCAAACCCCATGATGAACCGCAGCAACGTGCTCTTGCCACACCCGTTCGGCCCAATGAACGCCAGCTTCTCGCCGCGCTCGATCTGCAGCTTCGCCTTGTCGAACAGCACATTGAGCTGCTCCCCCCCGCCGCCGCCGCCGCCGTTGCCGGCGCTGCGCTTCGCGTAGCTGTGCGAGAGGTTCGCGATCTGCACTGTGATGCGCCCGCTGCGCTCCAGCTCCGGGAAGCGGAACCGCATCTGCTTGCGCTCGAACGGTTTCTCCACCGCACCCTCTTCTTGCAGCCGCTCCAGCGCCTGAGGGGGGAATAGAAGGGGGGCAGCGGAGGGACGGGTGGCGGAATTGGTAACAGGGATGGGAGGAAGGGGAAGCGGAACCGCATCTGCTTGCGCTCGAACGGTTTCTCCACCGCGCCCTCTTCTTGCAGCCGCTCCAGCGCCTGAGGGGGGAATAGAAGGGGGGCAGCGGAGGGACGGGTGGCGGAATTGGTAACAGGGATGGGAGGAAGGGGAAGCGGAACCGCATCTGCTTGCGCTCGAACGGTTTCTCCACCGCGCCTTCTACTTGCAGGCGCTCCTGCGCCTTAAGGGAGGGATTGCGGGGGGGAGGAGGAAGTCGTCGGAAGGGGGACGGACACAGGGAAGAGTCAGACGGAAGAGTCAGACGGGAGAACAGGAGATATGGTAAAAAAAGGGGAGCGTTAGGCGGAAGCGGAAGCGCAACTTCATCTGCTTGCGCTCGAGAGGCTTCTCCACCGCGCCCTCTACTTGCAGCCGCTCTAGCGACAGAGGGAAGATGGACGAGGATGGTAGGAGAAGGAGAGGTTGGTCGGAAGGGGGAGGGACGCGGGTGACAGGGATGGGCGGAAGGGGAAGCGGAACCGTGTCTGCTTGCGCTCGAACGGCTTCTTCACTGCTTTCTCTGATTGCAACCGCTTCAGCGCATAAGAAAGAGAGGAAATTACGTTTGGGTGGGGGAGGGGAATGGTCGGAATGGGGAGAAAAAGCGTTAGCGCGGACGGGTGGAAGGGGAAGTGGAGCCGCATCTGCCTACCTTCTCTGCGGAGGAAGCGCGCCCCGCGTTCCCTCCTCCCTGCAGCCGCGCAATCATATCCTCCGTGCGCGCAATCTCCTTCTGCTGCCGCTCCCACGCCATCCGCTGCGCCTCGACCCACTCCGCCTTTGCCGCCACGTACGCGCTATAATTCCCGGGAAACGTCATGCTAATCCCCATCTCCGTCTCCACAATCTTATTACACAACTGGTCTAAAAACGCGCGATCGTGCGACACGATCACCATGGGTACATCCTGCTGCTTTAAGTACTTCTCAAGCCACTCGATCGCGTCTAAGTCCAGATGATTAGTAGGCTCATCCAGGAGTAATAAATCCGGCTGCTGCAGCAGAATCTTACCCAGCGACATTCGCATTTGCCACCCCCCGCTATAAGAAGCTACGAGCCGCTCCGAATCCTCCGGACCAAACCCTAGCTCCGGCATCATCTTATTAATCGCCACGTCAACGCTGTACAAGTCGAGCGCCTCGGCTTTTTTTTGGAGGTCGTCGAGTTCGTCTAGGAGCCGCGACATTAACTCCATGTCCTCCGTGGCGCGCTCTAGCGCGGCTTGGACCTCCTCAAGCCGGTCTTTTATGTCCATCTGCTCCGCGAACGCGGAGAGAAACTCTTCGCGAACCGTTCGCGAAGGGACGACATTGAACTCTTGCGTGAGGTACGCAATCTTCATGTTCGGCCGCGCTTTAAGAACAACGCCTGTGTCCGGCTCGATTTCCCCCGTTATAATCTTCAGCTGCGTGGTTTTTCCCGCGCCGTTCACGCCGACGAGACCCACGCGCTCGCCGCGCTTCACCTCCCACGAAATATCCGTTAAAAGCTGCACTCCCTTGAACGTCTTGGTGACTCCCTCGAGCCGCACTCCGGAAGCCACGCTCGACGCTCCTGCACGATCGCCGGCAGTTTTACCGGAGCCGGCAGACTTGCCGGCTCCGCGACGAGGGGAGCCTGGAGGGGTGCCGCTGGAGGAGGTGCCTGGCGACTCGACATGTGGATGCGAATGGTGAATTTCGTTAGGCTGCATAATCCCCACGTCGACTTCCTCCTCCACCTCTACTGCGACGGCGGCCTGCGACAGTTGCGACAGTTGTGCGACGGGTTTCTTCCCTTGGCGAATTCTGCACTCCGTCGGGCGAAATGCGCGACGCTGAGTGCCGTGGAGGGGAAGATTGAGAGAGGAGCCATGGCGGAAGGGGATAGAGAGAGCGTGGAGCGACATGGGCTTAAGCTTAAGTGTGAGAGAAGAGGACGGTAAGGACATGGGATTGCTGCGAGCTTGAAGAGAACAGGCGGGTTTTGTTGCGGAGCTTGAGAGGACGACGGAACCGCTCATTGTTTTCTCCGCGAATGGCAAATTGCCTGTCGCCGAGAGCTGAAAACGAGAGGGACTGTAGTGACAACAGTGCACAGCAAACGCGTGCCTGCGCGCAAGAAAAGGAGCCACCTGAGTCGTCAAACGAAACGACACACTAAGCTGTTGCGCTTCCTGACTCAGCGAATGCCTAGTCAGAGAGAGTCGCTTCGCAGGAAAAAAAACGTGACAGGTTCAGGAAAAACTGATGGAAATGGCAGCCATGGCTGGAATTTAGGGTGGAGGGAGTTCGGGAAATATCGAGGGACAGGGAGGCAAGGTCCAAACCGAAAGCAACAGAAAGTTGACGAACTTTCTAACGAAAGCCGGACGCCAACGAGGCCAGAACGGCGAAGAGCAGGGATGACGAGAATATGGTAACCACTTGACTATGACATCCCACATGACTGGAAGCGGTCTCTGATCTGACGGTCAGCTCCGATTGATGGTGGGAGATTCGTTGTGGGAACTTCGAGATTGTTTGAACCTCTGAAATGATGCCAGTTGGCACCGGGCAACTTTCTGTTAGGGTGAGGCAGGAGCGACCATGATTGGCTGCTGTGCGGTAGCAGAGACGGCGTGGCGGCGCCACAGAGGTTACACGCAGGCGAAGCCGACCAACTGGCACGCGCGACTGATCGCGATGGAAAAGTGCATCCACAGAGAATCGCGTCGCGCAGGTGGACAGCTGCGAGTTCGAATCTTCCTTCTGCCACAGAATCATCAACAGAGAAAAGAGGTGTCGTTCTGTTTGCGCATGAGCAGTTCGGGCCTTCTGCACAAGCACTGCGGGATGGGTTTTCCTCGAAGGGGTCAACCCTCCCGCGGCCTCGGCGAAATTTTCTGCTAACGACAAAACGGTTTTGCCAACAGCCCATGTTCTTTCCGTTCACCATGCCCAATCTGCCCAGGATGCTCAAAATGTTTCATCCTAACCAGTCACAAATCTTCAACCTTTGTGTTCACCCTTGCCTCTCGTTTGGCATGTTTTTCTGGTGAGTTATTTCATCGCAAATTTTCCCAAAATCGGGCGCTCAGATCTGCCCGTTATTGCTTGTGCGTCCCCTTATTCTACCTCGGATGGGCGGATAGGGTTCGCACGAGCGGTGCCTCCAGTTTGCCCGTAAAAGAAATTTCCCAGTAAGGTCCGAACGCACGAGTGGTGATGCGTTCTTCAACCCTTGGGCGCACAAGAAATGCTACCAGGTTCGGTACACAATAACGATTGGGAGGCTTGATATGGGCTTTAAGCTCTGTCATGCGCCTTCCTAGAATATTCTTCAGGGGGGCCAAGCACCCCGAATGCGGCAACAGAACGATACCAGAGATAAATCTGCACCATCATCACCAGCAGAATGCTGATGTGGGGAGATATCAGCTCAGGTTGTCCTCCCCTGTCCGGTACAATAACTAAATAATAATTTGAAAAAAAGGTATAATGATATAAGGGACTGCAATACAACACAACGTAATTTCCAGCCTACCTATCAAAGCACAAGGTTTTGACATAAACTGCACGTTTTACAACGATGACCCAGACAAAGAACGCCATACATGCTTTCTGTGAACGGAAGTGATAGTGCCAACTAGCGATTAGCATCTTGAATGCCTCCATGCACCTTAGGCAGACATGATGAGGAAGAAAATGAAGAGAGCAATGGCAAACACTGCCATCACCCAACACGTCTGTAACAAGGGGTTGATGGGTGAAAGCAGGCATGACGTGATGGTATCAGACGAAATAAGAGCCACGTGATAGAAGAAGTGTTGAGATGTCTCAAAAAACACTTATTTTATCACCAGGGGAGGGGGGGAAGGGAGTGATGAAGGGAACTCATGGGTGGAGGCAAGTAAGCGTACTAAGGAGCTGGACTGGCATTGAGTCTATTTCAGATGCAAATGGAAAATCACTACATGAAAAGTCACTCCAGGTTTAGTGGGCATACAAATGAGCTGGACTCGCGTTGACTCCTTGCCGCCTGGGTGAGCTGCTTGTTGGCGTTCACTGCCTGTGCCCTCGACCCCTCTATGTTCGCCTCTATGTCATCTGCAGGGAACAAAGAAGGAAGACGCACACAAGGGGCACAAGGGGCACCACAATGGGCACAAAGAGGCCCAAGGGGGCACAAAGGGGCACAAGGGGGCACAAGGGGGCACAAGGGGGCACAAAGGAGCCCAAGGGGGCACAAGGGGACACACGAGGGGCACAAGGGGCCACAAAGGGACCAAAGAGAGTATGTGAGCTGCTTATTTGCATTCACTGCCGGTGCCTTCCAACACGCAACAGCGCACCTCGTTAAAAGCTGCTTGCATGCCCTTGACTCACCAATCATGCCTCCCTGCTTTCTGACCAGCACGGCCAGGTCTTGAAAGATTGCATTCACCTCCGCTATCTGCTGCTGAGTCCTTAAATGCCTATGGACTACTCATTATAAGCTTACTCAAACAATCATGGCGAACCCAACAACTAGCCCTTGACTCACCAATCATGCCTCCTTGCTCTCGGACGAGCACGGCCAGGTCTTGAAAGATCTCGTTCACCTCCACTATCTGCTGCTGAATCTCCTGAATGCCCTGCTCCCGCTCCTCTATCACTGCCTCGTTATAAGCCAACTCGCCTTCCACCACTGCCATCTCATGTCTGCAACATGGAAAGGGAATGGGCGAAAGGGCATGGGCGGTTGTGGACAGGTGTGAGTGAGTGTTGGCTTCGTGTGGGGATGTGGGATTGTGTTGGGTTGTGTGGGAATGTGTGAGGGCGTGGGACAGATTGTGTGGGGGGGTTGGGACGGGGTGTCTGAGGGTGTGTGGTGGTGTGTGGGAGTGTGTGGGGGGGTGGGACGGGGTGTGTGCGGGGGTGCGAGGGATGAAGAGGAATGAAAGCCTACTCACCCACACACAATGCCCTCCCACACTCACCCACACCACACGCCCTGCTCTCACCTCTGCTGTGCTAGCAGCGGTCTCTCTGCTCCTCTCTGCAGGTCGAATTCTACAGAATAATAAAAACTCTCAGCCACCCGCACCACCCACCCCGCTCTCACCTCTGCTGTGCTAGCAGCGGGTCACTCTGCTCCTCCCAACAGTTCAAATCCTACATAATCATAAAAAAAATTCACAATCACCAACACCACTTGCTCTGCTCTCACCTCTGCTGTGCTAGCAGCGGGTCTCTCTGCTCCTCCCTATCCGCCTGCTCAGCCAACTGTGCCCCACCTGCCCCTCCGAAATTGGACAAGCCCACACTGCCTGTCCCCCTGGAGACAAGAGGGACGGGAAAAGACCACAAAGGGGCATGCGTGAAGGGAAGAGGAGAAAGGGCGCGGAGTAAGGAAACAGCGCCAAGTAAAAAGACGTGAAGGTGCAGCGCGCGCTCAAACTCACACCTCTCTCCTGTCTCACCACCTGTAGACCCTCTCACTGCACAAAAGGTTGCCTCACACACCCAACTCCTCTCACGCAGCTCTTCCCTCTCCCCCTGCCTGACGACCCTCCACCCGACCCCAAAGAGACGTCCCGCCTAGAGCGTGGGAAGGGGAAACCAGTCCCACGCCAGTCTCACGCACCTCTTTCCTCTCCCTCCGCCTGACGACCCTCCAGACGACCCCAGCGAAGCCACCGACGGGGCCCCTCCCGCGCCCCCTGCGGGCATCTGCGCGTTTCCCCCGCGGCGGGGGCTCTCGAAGGGCGCGAAGGCGGCCTCCCGCTCCGCCGCGAGGTGCTGCGCGCGCTCAAACTCGCGGAGCACAGCTTGAAAGTCCTTGGCTAGCTTTGCATCGCTAATCTTTTGTGTCGCCTGTGTAGATGATGAGGAAGGAAGACGGGAGGAGCGGGGAGGGAGGGATGCGTGGGGGTAAAGGGCGGGTGTGTGGGGCGGGAGGCGAGGGAAGGGGAGATGGCACGCAAAGTGACACCAACGGGGTGGTTGCGCGCAAAAGGATTGGGTAGTATGAGGGCCAGGTCGACGAAGGCGGACGGGGAAGAGGAGAAGCGTGGGGTGGTAGGAGAAAGTGGAGGTGGGGGAACAGGGAGGGGGAAGAAAGGGGGGAAGGTGGGGTGTGAAGGAGATGGCACTCACGCTGACGCCAGCGGAATGGTCGCGCGCAGAGGCATCCTTGAGCTTCTGCGCCGTGTCCTTGGCCAGATGGCTGATGTACTGCCGCGACTTGTGCCTGCCGTTGACGGACGACGACGAGGAAAAACGGGAGAAAAAGGAAGTGACGGAAATGAGGATGTTTGCAATGAGAATTCAAGTAGCACGGCAGACGGCCAGGGCTGCGCACGAATGAGTTCTCGAGACGTGCAAGAAAAAACCGAGCACAGGGACGAGAAGGAGAGGACTAGGATGAAGACGCAAGCAAGGGCTCGAAGGCTCTCAGGTAGGAGTAACATATTCCGGTCCCAAAAGCCACGTGATGATGACAGACGAAACCCTAACGGCACGTGGGTGCCGGTACAGCTTCTCACGGAGTTCAACAGCGCTCTTCGTGCTACTCAGTGTGCTGACAGCACGATAAAAACAAATTGATTAATTAATTAAACAAAAATCCTTGGCTCTTCGTGATCTATATATGATAATCTCGCCGTACAGCTTCTCACGGAGTTCGACGGTGTCCTTAGCGGTACCCAGCGTGTTGACGAGCCGCTTGAACGTCCCCACTGCCGTGTTCATCTGAAACACGCCTGACGCCACCGCCTGACTTGACGGAACCGTCTGACTTGACGTCCCGGAAGTCGGCCGACCGACTCCGTTCATACCCCCACCGGCAGGGCCCGACGACCGGCCGATGTCCTGAAAGCTCATGCTGACGTGGCGTCGTGGAGCGGTCTTAGTGACTTCGCAATCTGAAACGCCTCGCTTCCACTTC